TTTTGTTTTTTGTTTTTGTTTTTTTTGAGGCAGAGTTTCTCTGTGTAGTTTTTGTTGCCTGTCCTGGATCTCACTCTGTAAACCAGGCTGGCCTCGAACTCACAGAGATCCGCCTGGCTCTGCCTCCTGAGTGCTGGGATTAAAGGCATGTGCCACCACTGCCTAACTTAATCTCATGTTTTTTAAGAAATAATTTTGAGGACTGGCAGATGTGGATCCTGGGAACTGAACTCAAGTCCTCTGGAAGAACCGCATTAGCCCTCAACCACGGAGCCATCTCTCCAGACTCACACAGAAAGTGTTTCGGTCACATTTATCTCCCCCTCCTCCTGCAACTGCAATCCTCCTTTCCAAGACATCCTCCTCCTCCCTTTGTGTCTTCTTTCTGTCTTCCTTCCTCCCTTCCTTCCTTCCTTCCTTCCTCCCTCCCTCCCTCCCTCCCTCCCTCCCTCCCTCCCTTCTTTCTTTCTTTCTTTCTTTCTTTCTTTTTAAATCTCACTGAGTTTAGTGTCAGGTCCAAAGGAAACTCCATTTCCCCCAAATTCTAGGGTTAGGCAAAAGCCAGCCTTCCTCAGGAACTTGTGAAGCTGGCTCTCCTCTACCAAAAGGAGTCATTCCCTTTTCACTGGCAGAGGGGACAAATGGCTATTGGTGGTGCCTTTTAGCACAGGCTGGCCTCCAGGTCCCTCAGTGTCACAGATACCTGTCACACATTTCAGAGTCCATGCTGGCCCCCTGGACCTTCCAGCTCATCCCCTAAACTCCAGTTCATGGGCTTCCCTCCTGACGGCTACTTCTTCTCCTTAGAACCCTGCTAGTGCTTTGGCTAAGCTCCTTCTCTTCGGCTCACTCTCTCTGTTTTCTTCTCTGGGCCTCCCTCTCCCCACCACCACCCCCGCCCCGTTTCCCTCCTCCCCATCTCTCTGCAGGTCACATTCAGTCTACTTTTTATCTCTGCTCTGGACTCTTCCAGGTGTTTCTGGATGTCCTCTCTTGTCCACAACAGAAACCTTCGCCTTAACCACACCATGGAGCAGTACAGTCGTCAGTTTATACAGTCAGTGTTGCTTGTACATATCTAGGTATGAGAGTATGGTGTTATTTAACAGCACTGTCTTTTTATTTTTTATTTTTGAATCTTGTGACAGGGTCTCACTAAGTTGCCCAGGCTGGACTTGAACTCATTCTGCAGTCTAGACTGGCTTTGAACGTGTGGTCCCCCTGCCTTAGTCTCAGGAGTAGCTAAGATTACAGGCCACCCTACTGAGCAGTACAGGCCTAGGGCGACAATTAGTATTAATAGTGCTGGCTAACCCCACGCCCCGCCCACAGTGCAGTGAGATGGGCATTGTCACTCCGCCTGTTGACAGATGAAGCCAAGCACCTAGCAACATGAAGCAGCTTGTGAGAGCTAGGTTGAGATGTCAAAAAACCGGCATCCTGAAGCCACCCTCCCGACCACTGCCAAATCCGGTAATAATGCAAATTGGCAAAAATAAATGGGGATATTTAAAAACAAAACAAAAACAAAAACACCTCTCACATTGTTTCGATGTGGACCACTGCCCTGTAGATTGATGCAAATCCTGACCGGTTCAGATATATCCTCTGGAGGGCAGGCAGATGGCTCAGTGGGTAAAGCCTGATGACCTGTATTTGATCCCCAGGACCCACATGGTAAAAGGAGAGAACAGACTCCCAAAAGTTGGATTCTGGGGGCTGGAGAGATGGCTCAGAGGTTAAGAGCACTGACTGCTCTTCCAGAGGTCCTGAGTTCAATTCCCAGCAACCATATGGTGGCTCACAACCATCTGTAATAAGATCTGGTGCTCTCTTCTGGCTTGCAGTCATATATGCTGTATACATAATAAATAAATAAATATTTAAAAAAAGTTGGATTCTTACCTGTATATGCATACTGTGACATGTGTGTACATGGACACACACTACATAAATGTAAGAAAAAAGGAAAGAAGGCATGAAAGAAAGGCCCTCTTGCAGTTCTCACAGTCACTAAAAACATTTTTGTCTGTGAAGTTGGGAAACGGCAACTGAGTCCCTATTGATAGCCTTCTCCAGGTCTGAGGCAGAGGGCTGGGAGGAGGGAGAGGGAGGAGGGTGAGATACTTGCAGGGGTAGAACCTTTGAAAAAAAAGAAATTCTTGGCTGAACAACAACAAATCCAGTAACACCAATTCTAGTCAAACAGGGATTTGAAGGAAAAGCAGGGGATAGGTTACTTATCCGAGTTTATCGATCTTGACTGTTGATTTTTTTTTTATGCCAGAGGGCAAATGCCTCACTGGCCTTGTCCTAGTTAACCAGCATATTTTTTTTCTTTTTCCCACTGAGACAGGGCCTTACTCTGTTAGCCTTCATGCCAGGTCTCCCAGAATCTTAACTATCTTCTCCCCTGGATTAAAATGAGTGACTTTGAGTGTTCACTCTCCTTCTGTGTCTATCTTCCCAGCAGCTTCCCCTGGAGAAGAGCTTCCCATGGGCCCATATTGAACAACCACCCTCCCCAGACGACCATGAAAAAGCCACACTTGCCCTTGCCGGCAGCCATTACCCAAGGTCAGAGGAATGCAGCCAGCTTCTAGGACGTTCTGATAGACCTCTCGAATTACCCGGCAGCTGTCCTGGAGGTTGTAAAGATTGACGTTCACATTGCCTAGATCTGCCACCCTGAGGGACTGGAAGGGGAGGGCTCCGGTGCTGGGGTTGACAGCCCCCAGCATCACCGATTCCTCCCGGATTCGATGGGGTCCAAACCTGGAGAAGAAGAATCATCTTCATGTCAGCTGCTGCAGAGCTCTGGAGGCTCGCTGTGCCTAAATGGAGTGTCTCTGTCTCCTAACATTTGGGACAGGCGACCCTGTGCTGTGGGATAGAGTCTGTAACCACTAGCAACCAGGAGCACCTCTCCCCTCAACCTGCACCAAGTAAAAGTCTGTCTGGATGTGAGCAGGCATGACCACTGGGTACAATACAGACCCCACTGAGAACCATTCATCTATGTATATTTGGAGGGGTTGGTTGTTTTGTTTTTTGACTTTTTTAATTGTATTGTTATTTTTATTTTATTGTTTTTATATTGGTCTTGCTGGCACAAAACTCACCGTGTATCCCAAGATCGCCTCAAACTCTCAATCCTCCTGCCTCAGCCTCCTGAGTGCTGGATTACCTCTATGCATGACGATAGCAGACTAACAGAATTTCTGATCGTGTTCAGTTTATTAGTTTTCCATACTGTAACACAGTATCTGAGGCTGAGTTAGGTTTTTGTTTGTTTGTTTTAGTACAAGGATAGCTCAGTCACAAGAGCTCTTGCCATCTAAGTGGAAGGGTCCAGGTTTGATCCCCAGAACCCATATATAACTACCAGGTGTGGTGGCACCCACTTGGAATTCCCAGCACTGCAGACTCAGATCAGGAGGGTCAGTAGATGGTCCCTGGCCACCCGTCTAACTCACTTAGTGAACTTTCGGTCAGTGAGAGACCCTGTCTCGAACAAGGCAGACTGTGATACCGAGATGACTCACTGGCTGACCTCCCTACCCGCATGCATGCACGTGAGCACACATAGGAATTAACCGTTTATTTAAGGAGCTGGAGAGATGGCTCATGAGTTAGGAGCACTGGCTGCTCTTGCAGAAGATCTGGTTTTAGTTTCCAGCACCCACATGGCAACTCGCAACTATCCTTAATTCCAGTTCTTGGGGGACCCAACGCTGTCCCCTTCCGGCTACTCAGCACCAGGCAGAGATATGGTGCACACACATTCGTGAAGACAGAAACATGTGTACACATGAAATAAAAGTAAATATTTTAAAAAGTTAAGTACCAGCATGGGACACAGGCTCCACTTTGTTCTTTGCCTGTTTTGTCTTTTTCATCGATGGAGATCAAACCAGGGGCCTCGAAAGCTGAGTGAGAGAGAGCTTGTCACTCAGACACCCCCCCATTCCTTACACAAGAGCCCACCCACTACCAATTTATTACATAGCATTAGACAATTCCTTAGCCTGAGTTTCTGTTTCCTGATCTTTAAAATAATGATGCTGTTATTTATGTCCTGGTGTGGTGGTATGAATTTAACGAGGTCAACTTTGCAAAATGTCCTGGGTTCATTGACATTTACTAAATGACAGCTTTTAAAATTCAGCCTGGGGGTTGGGGATTTAGCTCAGTGGTAGAGCGCTTGCTTAGCAAGCGCAAGGCCCTGGGTTTGGTCCTCGGCTCTGAAAAAAAAAAAAAAATTCAGCCTGATACAGTCAGATACAATGAACTGAAGCAGAAACTGCCGTTGCTTGCTAATTAAGAAACAGACTTTCGGTCTCTTGGATTTTGATAGTTGTGGATTTGGGGAAGGGACTACCAATGTCTGTTCTCTTATATTTTGTTCTCTTATATTTTTGGTTGTGAGCCTAGCCTTTAAAGGCTGAGCCATCTCTCCAGGCCAGCCAATGTCTGTTCTCAAACCAGCGGCCCCTAGGATGGAACTAGGGTGTGCACATCCACCATCCCAGCAAGGCTGGGGTTCTAGAAACTCTCCTGGCTTGCTAATGCAGCCCAGGCTGGCCTTTCGGAGCTGCCTCGGCTTCTTGAGGTTACAGGAGTACAGAGAACCCTTTCTTGACCCCTGATGACCCTGAGATCTCAGGATTGGCCTTCCAATCCTGTGTTAAGCCCTTGGTGTTGCGTGTTGAAAGAGGAGGGAGCCGCCCTCCCTGATCCCAATGACCTAGGTGAAGAGGTGCAAGCCCCACGTGCCTTCTGCACTCGGGAGCTTCTGGCCTTACCTGGCCCCAGGCCGGTTGGAAGTCCCCGTGTCCAGAGGCACACCGATGAAGGCGGCATCCAGCCCCTCAGGGGAGGACTGCAGGGGCAGGCGCATCATGGAGCAGACGCCCACCAGTTGTACCAATGACTCAGAGCCGGGGGACTGGTGATGAGGGGCATCTGAAGCCTGGCGGATCCTGGGGTGGCCAGGAGAGAGGAGCCCCACAGAGGGACGCCACGTGGCCACCCCAGACCCCGGGCCCCGGGTACAACTGGACATGAGCAGCCGCAGCATGCCGCCTATTGAGGAGCCCAACCCCGCCAGCATGCCAGCCCCCAGGTGCAGGGCTCAAAGGTCAGGGGCGCCCTGGGATCAAAGGGGCGGGCCCTGGGAGGGCCCCAGAGCCCAAGCGTTTCTCTACCTGCCCCGCTGGACTTCAGCTCCCCACTGTATTGGCACTGGATTGGTCAATGAGACACCTGAGGCTTCCCACTCATGCCCACCTGCCCGCCCCCCCTGGTTTATCAGTGCAAGGAGCCTCCCAACATCTGGCCTTTGTCTGTCTCTCCTATTCAGAGTAATTTTGTTTTGTTTTGCTTTGTTTGCTATGGTTGTATTGTATTGTTAACAAAAGGTCTCACTCTGCAGTCCTGGCTGGTCTGGAACATGTGTGTCTACGTTGGCCTTCAGTGCTCAGGTAAAATGCTCAACCTAAGCAACATTGTGTTTTTTGTTGTCCTTGTTTTTTTTTTTTTTTTTATTTATTTATTTATTGTGTATATAGTGTTCTGGCTGCATGTTTGCCTGCAGGCCAGAAGAGGGCACCAGATCTCATTACAGATGGTTGTGAGCCACCATGTAGTTGCTGGGAATTGAACTCAGGACCTCTGGAAGAGCAGCCAGTGCTCCTAACCGCTGAGCCATCTCTCCAGCCCCCTGTCCTTGTTTTTTTTTTGTTTTTTTTGTTTTTTTTAAAGATAGTGTGGCCGGGCGGTGGTGGCGCACGCCTTTAATCCCAGCACTGGGGAGGCAGAGGCAGGTGGATCTCTGTGAGTTCGAGGCCAGCCTGGGCTAACAAGTGAGTTCCAGGAAAGGCACAAAGCTGCACAAAGAAACCCTGTCTCGAAAAACCAAAAAAAAAATAAAAAAATAAAAAAAAAATAAAGATAGTGGATTTTTTTAAAGACTTATTTATTTATTATGTATACAGGAGGGAGTGCCAGATCTCATTACAGATGGTTGTGAGCCACCATGTGGTTGCTGGGAATTGAACTCAGGACCTCTGGAAGAGCAATCCAGAGGTGCTCTTAACCTCTGAGCCATCTCTCCAGCCCTGTTGTCCTTGTTTTAAGATAGGGTCTCATGTAGCTGGCACAGGCTGGGCTCCGGCTTGTCATGTAGACTAGGCTGACCTCAAACTCAGAGAGATCCATCACCTCAGCACAAAAGAAAGGTGTTTGCCACAGGCTGGTCATGTGTGTGTGTATGTGTGTGTGTGTGTGTGTGTGTGTGTGTGTGTGTGTATCTCCTTAAAAAATATACATACACATATTTTTTTAAGGATATCTGGGGGTAGAACATTTGCATCGTATCTGCAAAGACCTTCAGTTGCACTCTGAGTAAAGAGAATATAAAATAAAAATGCATTATAGTTATGCATGATGGTATTAGCCTTTAATCCCAGCACTCAGGAGGCAGAGGCAGGAGAGTCTCTGTGAGTTTGGAGTCAGCCTGATTTACATAAGGAGTACCAAGCTAGCTAAAGCTACATGGTGACATCCTGTTACAAACAAAAACCCACAAAACCTTTTAGTGTATTACAAAGAATTTAGCAGTGAGCTATCAAGAAAGGCACAGCAGCAGCAAGCCGGCTAGTGTGCTGTCTTCTCCCTGGTTCTAAGGAAAGGGAAAAAATCACTAGGGGCCAGCAGGATGGCTCAGCTGGTGAAGGCATCAGCTGACAAGCCTAATAAACTGAGTTCAACCCCTGCCACCCAGAACAGAACTGACTCCTGAAAGTTGTCCTCTGACCTCCTGCAGGAACATCGAGGCACACATGTATGGTGATATTTTATTTGTATTAAAATGTTATTCATATGTTAATAAATAAAGTTGCCCGGGGGTCAGAACTATTAGCAAGCCATAGGAAAGCAGGGCGGTGGTGGTGTATGCTTGTAATCCCAGCACTTGGTAGGCAGAGCTAGGTAAGTCTCTGTGTGTTCAGGGATACAGCCAGTATTGGATACACATGCCTTTAATCTCAATACCAATCATAGAAGACCTGGAGGTCTATACAGACAGGTTGTGATGAGGCGGTCATGTGGTTGGGTTTACAACCAATGAGAAGGCAGAACAGAAACTCTATATAAAGACTTTAACACAGGAAGTAGCTCTGGTTCGGAGAGGTAGGACCACCGCAGGAGGAAGGATAAGGTTTTAGCTCTTAGCTCTGACCTCTTGGCTTTCTTCTTTGCATTGGTTCTGTGTTTCTTATTTAATAAGACAGTTGGTTACATCTACACACATGCACACACATACAAAAAATAAATGCAAAAAAAAAAAAAGCACAAACAGAGACGTGACATGTGAGACACTTGGTGGTTTTGGTGTTTTCTCTAGCAATTGAGACCGAATGGAAAAAGTTGTGTGCCTTGGTGCACAGCCTCGCTGCAGAGGCCACACAGGACACTACGCAACATTCTAGGATGCACTCCGGGGCACAGGGCAAAGTTCTCTGAGGTCAGTAATGAGTGTTCCATATTAGATGCTTCAAGGCAGATCTGTCTATCCTCCAGAAATGCAACTGTCTCTTCCTCTCGACGCCCAATTTCTACCATGGTTTCCCTCTCCTCACTTGTCTTTGGGCACCTGATCGTCTCACTGCCAGTTTTCTTTCCATGCATCTCACACATGTTTAATGGGTGCCCTCTCTGCATCGGGCACTCTGTGCCTGTGACTGAGGAACACTCCCTCCTCATGCTTGAAAGGGTGGCCTTCCGAGTGAATGTTCTGGAGTTTCTCTACCTCCCTGCTTCCCTCAGGACAATCTCTTTTCACAAGTGATGGTTTTCTTTTGCAGACGGATGACAGTTCCTCATGAGGAAGTCTCTACGGTCCGATGTCCTGTCCTGTCATCCCCACAAGGAGGCACCAGCTTAGCAGAAACATCTGCTGCTGTCACCTGAGAGGCCAAGTGAAGTGGAAAGTGGACCACAGCCCACGTGGGACAAGAGCCCTGGTCTGGCTACAGCCCTGGCTCAACTGTTAAGAGTGCTTACTGCTCTTGCAGAGGTCCTGAGTTTGGTTCCCAGCCCCACGGCAGTGGCTCTCAGCTGCCTGTAACTCCAGCTCCAGGGAATTAGGTGCCTCTTCTGCCTCCTCAAGCTCACACACACACACACACACACACAATCACACAATCACACACACACACACACACACACACACACTAAAACTAAAGGGACTGGAGATGGCTCAGCAGTTAAAAGCACTTGCTGCTCTTCCAGAGCACACAGGCTCAGTCCCCGGCACCCACACAGTGGCTCACAACCATCTGTAACTTTATCTCCAGGTATCTGATGTCCCCTTTGGGCCTTCACCAGCACCAAGAAGGTACAAAGTGCACGTGCATGCATGCAGGCAAAACCTTCACATGCATAAAAATAAATTTAAAGTAAACTTTAAAAAGAAGCCTACTTCAAGGCGCTTCTTGTCAATATTAAAAAAAAAAAAAAAGAAGAAGAAGAAGAAAGGTGAGTGTGTAGTCAGAAAGCAGTTGGTGGGGGTAGCGGGCACTCCTTCCTACGGCTAGGGGGTCTGGTCAGAACGCCTGGGCAGCTGATCCTAGTCAGTGTTCCCTGTCTGTCCACGTCCAGATGGAGAGTCATTTGGGGCAGATTTCAAGCTAACTGGGGCAGTAACCCAAGGTAGGCTAATGTCATGCATATTTAATGTCTGTGATGCACAGACACTGGCCAGGGGCAGTGGCCACCAGCACATACCAAATGGACATCAGCCTGGAAGGAAAACGTGTTTAAATCAGAGCTCCAAAATATAGAACATGAATTAACTTTTTCTTTGAATCCATGACTTTCTTCCTCCGTCCCCAAGTTTCCTTCAATAGAAGAAACGGAATCTTTCCCCCACCCTTCCAGTGCTGGGGAGGGCACTCGGCTCTCCTCCAATAAACTCCACACGTCGCCCTCTATCTTGTTCTTTGTGCACCAGGACAGAAAGGTGGGGAAGGCACTGTCCCAGCAAACTCTAGGCTCCAGCACAGACTTTGCGCTCTCCGCCTGCCTCCAAGGGGCTGCTTTGAACCTTGTCCGAACCTGTAAAAGAACTGTTTTTGTCAGTGAGTGCATGATTGGACAGATCTGGAGCTGCGCAGAAGGGCTCTAGGGGCGGAGCTTGCTTTAGAAAAACAAAGGAACATCCGGGAGAGCCGGAGTGTCAGGAAACACTGGTGCGCTTCAGCCGTCTGTGCAGATCGCGTTACCCGTCCAGTGAGGCAAGGGTCCTGTGAGAGTCAGCACTGGGAACTTGTCTGTGGTTGTGGAAGCTTAGATATGTTGGTGTGGCAGTGTCAGCAAGATGAGCAACTCGGGACACAATGCTCGCGTCACCGAGCTGTGACTTCAGCCCTTTTATTTTACTTTTTTCTACTTAGCCCAGGCTGGTTTCCAGCTCCCAATCCTCCTGCGTCGTTTCCTCAGTTTTCCAATTACAGGCATGTAGTACCATGCCACACCAATGCCTTTGGGGGGGGGGTGCATTGAGGGAGTTGGGGAATCAAGACAAGGTTTCCCTGTGTAGCCCTGGCTGTCCATAAACTAGTTCTGTAGACCAGGCTGGCTTTGAACTCAAGAGATCCGCCTGCCTCTGCTGGGATTAATGGTTAGTTCCCAATAACATTTTTAAAACTGTGTTTCGTGTATTAGTCCTTTTTCTGATGCTGCAACAAAATAGCAGAGCACAAATCCAGGTCTGGTGGCCTGCACCTATAACAGCTGCATTTGAGAGGTAGCACTGGGAAGATCCAAGGTTATCCTGGACTACAGAGTGAGTTTGGAGGTAGCCTGGGATATAAGAGACCCCAGGAAGGTGGAGAAGGAGGAAAACAAGAAGGGGAAGAAGAAGAGGGAGTTATTTATTTGATACAGTTTTGGAGTCTGAAGGTCCAAATTGGACCACACTATCAGGTCAGTCTCTTGAAGAAGGCTTCAGGCAGCATATTGGAGTGATCAGATGGGAAGCCAGGAAGCCAAAGGGTGAGGAAGGGCAGGATGCTCTTCTTCTAACATCTTATTCTCTTGGAAACGAACTGGCATGCCCTGAGGAGCAGTCTAATGTCTTCAAGGATGATACCCCAATAAATAACTTAATCAAATCCTATTAGACCCGTGCCTCTCATAAAGCCACAGAGACACACGAGCCTTTCGGGGACAAAGCACATCAAACCAAAGCATCGTGAACCTTTTTATTGTTAGATAAAAATGGACATTCAATTAAATTTGAGAAAGCGTGAAAAGGAAGACAGTTGTGATAGGGCTAGGGGCTGCTTTGGCGGTTGATCTTGCAGTAGGAGTGATTGGCTCAAATCAATACAGCAGAGCAAGTAGCAATGACACCCAAGGGTGGTGGTAGGGGGCGGTTAGTGGGTGGGGAATTACCAGGAGGATCTGTCCTGGGCTGTTCCAGCTGTTGCTGGGGTAAAACACTCTGACCAAAAGCAACTAAGGGGAAGGAAGTGTTTATGTCAGCTTACAGGTCACAGTCCGTCACGGAGGGAAGTCAGGGCAAGACTTCCAGCAGGAACCCAAAAGCAAGCCTGCTCGCTATTCCACACCTTACCTCTCATCGAAGAACTCACAGCCACGGAACTGGCTCACTCATAGCTCAAGCTATGTCCTAGAGAGCCCAGGACCATCAGCCTAGGGATGGTGCCGCCCATAGTGGGCCGGGCCCTCCCACATCAGTTATCAATAAAGGTGACTCCTCACAGACTCGCCCACATGCCAATCTGATCCAAGGAATTTCCCAGCTGAGACGCCCTCCCCAGGTGAGTCTAGGTTGTATCAAGTTGACAGTAAGAGCTAAGCAGGTCACAGGCTAAACTGACCTAACCAGATTCTCGCTGAAGAAGGGTGGGTGATGATGACATCATAGCAGGGTGGTGGAGGAGGAGGAAGAGGAGGAGGAGGGGCTAAGCAGACACTGAGGGTGACTAGACACTCAGGGTGGGAAATTCTTGCTACAACTGGATTTTTATACCTGTAATCCCAGGCTCAGGCAGGAGGATCAGGACTTTCAGGAACCATGTATAAACAAGAAAGTGGCCGGGTGGTGGTGGTGGTGGTGGTGGCGGCGGCGGCGGCGCACCTTTAATCCCAGCACTCGAGAGGCAGAGCCAAGCAGATCTCTGAGTTTGAGGCCAGCCTGGTCTACAGAGCGAGATCCAGGACAGGCACAAAAACTACACAGAGAAACCCTGTCTCGGAAAAAAAAGAAAAAAGAAAGTGTTGGGGAGAGATGAGGGGGATCTTGACTTGGTTTTGATGGTAGTGGTGGCTTCCTTTGGTTGTAGTTTTGTTTGTTTGTTTTTGGTTTCTTGAGACAGGGTTTCTCAATGTAGTTTTGGTGCCTGTCCTGGATCTCATTCTGTAGACCAGGCTGGCCTCGAACTCACAGAGATCCTCCTGGCCCTGCCTCCCGAGTGCTGGAATTAAAGGCTTGTGCCACCATCACCTGGCTGTTCGTTTGTTTTTTGAAACATGGTCCCAGCCTGCCTGGAATTTTCTATATAGACCAGGGACCAGGATTACCTCAAACTCACAGAGATCCGCCAGCCTCCATTTTCCAAGTGCTGAGATTAAAGGCGTACACCACTATGCCCAGCCAGTCCAACCAGCCACTTTATCCAGACACCTTCACTGTCTAGTCTGAAGTGAGCGTCCTAGGGCATGAGGACGTGAGAGAGCATGACTTAAATACAGGAAAGACCCGGTCAGTGATGGAGGGGATACAAGATTTTCTGCATGGTCATCTCACTGAGAGAAGAAGGTGCCCTCGTCAGTGGAGAGGGCTCTCCTGTGTCATTCAATCACATGGCATGGCTCATGTTCCTCTCAGGACCGTTTATGTGTGCACCTTTCAAACAGTCGCCGAGGGAGCCAGGGCCACAACTCAGTGGGAGAGCATTTGCCAGCCAACCTCACACCCTAGTTTCTATCTCCAGCAAAGTAAAAAACAAAACAGAACAGAACAAAAAGCTTATCAGAGGTAGCAGATCCTGTTTCTGAGCCGACTTCTGGAAAGCCCCTACAGCTGGGAGCTGGAAGCCTCCCAAACCACCCAAAGAGAGCTGAGTCATCTGATTTCATCCCGACACCCAAACACGCAAACACCCAAGTTCTGGCATTACGGTCTTCGACATGGAATCTCTCTACGGCGCTCAAGCAATCCTCCTGTGTAACTGGTGCCCCTCGTCTGGCTGACATGAAGTTATTCTGTATGCTTTGTGGTGCTGGATTCAAACCCGGGCTTTGTTCGTGAAGGGCAAGCTCTCTAGCTTGAACTGTACCCCCACCCTTTAAAGGGAGGCATTTTCATAGATAATTATAGTCATGAGTTGCAAGGCTCAGAAGTGGCCATTTTGCCTGGCTTACATTTGCTGCTGGCATGCAAGAAGTTGCCTGTCAACAAACACTGGATGAGAACACAAGCTGCCCAACAGCTGTTTGCTCAAAATAGTTTACCCACGGAGCCCAGCTTTCACGGTATGCCAGCCAAGTGCCAGGTGTCGGGTAAGTCTGCTGGGGACAGGAAGCAGAGTAATAGCCATCTCCTGAGAAGTGACTGGCTGTAAGCTCAACAAGACATATAGTCTAACTCGAAAGGAGTTTTTTAACATTTATTTGGTTATTTATGTGTATAAACATTTTGCCTGCATGTTTATCTGTGAACACCGTTATCCCTGATACCTGAGCAGGCCAGAAGAGGGCTTTGGATCTTCTGGCATTGGAGTTACAGACAGTTGTGAGCCACCATGTGGGTGCTGAGAACTGACCTTGGGTGCCCTCTGTAAGAGCAGCCAGTGCTCTTGACTCCTGAGCCATCTCTCCAGCCCCAGAAGGGTTTTTTTTTTTTTTAACATAAAAACAGGTTATAATTCAAAAGTCCAGGGTTATTTTAAACAGTAAAATATTTTCTCTGTAGAAAATAGTAAAAATGATAACATTTCCCAATAAGCCCTTTTAAGTCAAATGATAGCTGAATTACACATATAAATATTGATTAGATTCTGGCATACAGAAAAAAACCTATCTTCATCTGTTCAGAGAGCTATGTTTTACTTAAGTTGTGTAAGTGATGTTCCTATTCATC